CGGTTACGCCTTCTTTCTTTGCGTGAACATTTGGGCGGCGTTATGCAAATCTTCCGACATAGTGATGTAGGTATGTGGGGGCGTGTTAGAACGAGCCGTTTTAGGTAGGCGTGGTTGACTCTTAACTTTTATAAAGAATATCTCTTTGGATTTGAGACTTTAGGCTTTGCAACTTTACAGATCTTCTTTATGCACCAAGAGCTTGTAACACTTCAAAGAGAAAGGAAAAATTGAAATCGCATCATATGACCCCTTTAACATTCTATTCATCAAAGAATCTGGAAAATAATTAGAAATGTATAAATGTAAACATTAAACAGCACAACTAAATTAGATTACTAAAATAAATTGCTATAAAATATTTTAAAATATAAAACAGTAGATTAAATTGCAATATTTCACAAATAAATTTTTTTTTGCTGTATTTTTAATCAAATAAATGCAGCCTTGGCGACCATAAGAGACTTCAAAAATATTAAAAAAAATATATATATATAAAAATACAAAAAAAAAACTTACTGGCTCAACTTTTGAACAGTAAGCTACAAACAATATTGCTAAATTTTGCAAAACTCCATTTTCTTTTTTTCCAAGTTATATTCATGGGCTTTTTATGCCCTTAATATAAAAAGGACAGTGGAGAGCTGACAGGAAAACATTGGGTGGAGAGAGAGGAGAGGGATCGGCAAATAACCTCGAGGTGGGAATCGAACTTAGGTCACCGTGAGCACAGTTGCGCTATATGTTGATGCACTAACCACAAGGCTACCATTTTTGCTTTCTAATTTTCATAGCTACATACATAGAATCCTTCCCAAATACACCATACAACTCCTCACAAATAAAAAGCTAATAATTGACTGTGACATTTTTTTGTCTTGGACTGAATGAGGTGACTAGCTGTGAGAGAAAAAAGGAAGGAAATACACTGGTCAGTTAAGCAGCAAAAACAAATATAAGTCCATTATGCAAGAGTGGGGAACAGCAGATAAGGCTGTATTTATCCGAGTGGTATAGTCATTACACATTACAGAGGGCCAAGACACCTCCACTTTGAAGTTGAAGTTCAACTCTTAGAGATTTGTGACTAGGTGTCAATTGTTAAGCCTTCCGAGAATTTAAGTGGTTTAGTATCAAAGGTTAATTTGATACCAAACCTGCCTTGAGCCTCCTACAAGACAAGTCTGAAGCTGAAATAAAAACAAAACAAAACCCAATTTATTTAGACATCTTAGCAGCATTTAAAGCTACATTTTTATGAGGTTCTGCAAGTGTATTACAATTGTATGATATAAACATAACTTGCAAATGTCCAAAGTAGGGATGTCAAAATTCCCATAAAAAATATTAATAGCCGTAGTAAAATGACACTGCATTTTGGACAGCTGTAAACGTAAGTGGTTATCATTTTCTACCTTAACTCATGTTATTTATTAGCTAACTAATGGTGTCTGATAAATGACAGTTATGGACAAATTACATTGCCAGGCATTTCCAGGGCCATAACTGTAAACTGTTTTAGCTGATGATTGCCTAATACATGCATGTATGAAAGTCCTTTTGTTGTAGTTCACTGTTTTTTGTTGTACAGACATTTTCCTTATTCCTTATTCATATTCTGCCACTTTTTTTAAAATCTGCTTTTAGATACCTGAAGTACGGTGTGGAAAAAACGTGTTTTGAAGTGTGCATCTTACAAGACTGGAATTTTATTTCTAATTCAGAATTTAATGTTTAATTCAAAGTGTTACTTGCGGTTTCTTTACTAGCAATTTCTCAGTGAAAGATGTTTCAGAAAAAAAAAAAAATATATATATATATATCTTTGGGATTTTGTTAATTTTTTTGTAATGATTTAAACATTTTTAATATTTTTGTAATTTGTTTTACAAGTTAAAGGGGTCATATGATGCTGCTAAAAAGAACATTATTTTGTGTATTTGGTGTAATGAAATGTGTTTATGCAGTTTAAAGTAAAAAAAACACATTATTTTCCACATACTGTACATTATTGTTTCTCCTTATATGCCCCGCCTTTTTGAAACGCGTCGATTTTTACAAAGCTCATCGGTCTGAAAAAGCGAGGTGTACATATTTTAAATAATTTTAAATGAACTAATGATAAAGTCATTAGTTTCGTAGTTTATGCTATGATATCAAAATTAGTATTAGAAATCAAGACATTTCATTGGTTTCCATTAATATTGACTGCTATAATTTCAGTAAAGGGTTAAACCCTAGTGCAAAGTTAGCATGAAATGCTGTGAATGGCCAATAAAATTACGTCAGCTTTATGCAATCTATTCTAACGCCCAACTGACATCAAACTTACACACATTTAATTGATATGACCAGAAATGACACTGTGAGTAATTTATGCACTCTCTGACCTCTGACTTTAGAACCTGAGAACTTCAAAGTTAAATAAATAGAACTTGCAATATTGCACAAATGAGATCAGCCAAGCATTTTCCCTTTGTGCTCCTTTCCTGGCAGACAGATCATTTGTTTGGATAAGTCTATTGTCTAAATTGAGAGAAAGACTCACAAACTGCAGCTCAGTTATTCAGGCACATAACTAAAGGAGGAAATACACACACACATCCAAGCGGTTCCAACATTTGCATTTGCTAATGAACGAGCGAACAGACTGAGCAGGTGGGATAGTTCACCGCCTCTCCGGACGCATTCTTTAGTTCTTCCTTACCTGGCACCAATGATGTCCTTCTTCGCCAGATCAATGCCAGCAATGACCTTGACACGAAGAATACGAGATTCATTCTGCAAAACATGACACACACAGAAAAGACCATCATGAATAAATCAATACCTCGTACAAGTCTAGAAGACAGAAAAAAACTGCCCCGTAGCCTAAATTTAAGCTGAGTCCAAGTTGTGAGAGCGTCCTAATTTCACCTCCAGGAGAAGATGAAAAAGGAGCATCTTAAAGAAATTAGAAGGAAGAGGCAGCCAAGAAAGCTTTTGTTTATTGATGGACACTAAGACGGAACTGTTTTAATGGTATAGCATCGGTGAGAAACAAATCCCTTTGGGAGCTATAAACCAAGGCCTTTAGATCAAGCACACCAGTTTATTGTCTTATGACTGAATAAGGTGGTCTAAAGTTCTCAGCTTGGCCTTCAAAAGCTCTCCAGCAATAGATAAGACCACCATTTCACGACTCCCACTCCCGCCCCCAACATCACCTCGGCCTGCTTTCAATAGCTATTCATCCCGCTCACGATCACACAATGAGCATCTTATTCGCCCTCACGGCTTTTAAAGCTCACCAGTCCAGAAATGACGCACTGTAGAGGGTAAGAAAGGCCCTCTTCTCCCGCTTTACCCACTTCTGCTCTCTGAAATTCCCCTTCTATTTATGTCTGACAGTCTGCACCTACCACAAGTCATGCATCATTCGTGCAGCCGAGGCAAACAACAACAACAACCAGTGTGACGGTTTGTATTTATTGTGCCTGTCGTATATGACCTAATTATTACAGAACGAATACAATTTGGATGAGATGGGAGAAGCTGTTATATCCTGACAGGTACTTGGGTGTTACTGTCATCCCACCGCGTAGCTTAGACTGACAGATCTGTGCTTTTCATATAAAATGCAAACAGAGGCTAGATGTCTTTGCAGAAAGCTACTATTTGGTATGAAGAAAATTCAATTTAATTTGTAAACCTTTTCTGAAGTTTTTCTTTGGAAAGTATGATAAAGCTCATGTTATTTTAGTTTCTAAAAGCCATTTCGGTATCAGACGATTCATGGCAAAAATAATAATAATAATTAAACAATTTTTTTTTTAGAAATTATTACTTTTATTCAGCAAAAGTGCATTATAAATTGATCAAGCCATTTATAATGTTACAAATGATATCTGTTTTAAATAACTGCTGTTCTTTGGCTCATGTTATTTCATTTTTAAAAAGCCATTTCAACACAAAACGATTCATGGCAAAAATTAAAAAATAAAATAATTAATTTGAAAAATAATACTAGATGCACTACTGTTCAACAATTTGAGTTCAGTCAGTGAGATTTTTTTTAAGGATGTTCTTTGGCTCATGTTATTTCATTTTTAAAAAGCCATTTCAACAAAACGATTCATGGCAAAAATTAAAAAATAAAGTAATTAATTTGAAAAATAATACTAGATGCACTACTGTTCAACAATTTGAGTTCAGTCAGTAAGATTTTTTTTAAGGAATAAATACTTTTATTTTATTCAATGGCAGCACAACTGTTTTCAACATTGATAATAATAAGAAATGTTACTGGAGCAGCAAATCAGCATATCAGAATGATTTCTGAAGGGTCATGTGACGACTGGCGTAACGATGCTGAAAATTCAGCTTTGCCATGACAGGAAAACGTAATCCAATTTTAAACTATAGGCTATACAAATAGAAAAGTTACTTAAACTGTAATAATATATCAGAATATTATGATTTTTTATTTTTGATAAATGCAGTCTTGGTAAGAGTCTTCTTTCAAAAATTCATATATAGAAAAAAAAGTTACCAACCCCAAACTTTTAAAAGGTAGTGCCCAACATATGGGAAAGCATTTCAGAATATTTTTACCTTTAGAATATCGTGCACTGATGAATTGTTCACAATAAGGCCTGAAACTAAACCAAACAGTTCCAGGTCTTCTGGTTTGCCTAGGTCATCAAAGTCAGTTTTTACACTAACCACCTTGAGAATCTCACATCATTTTGAAATTTTCATAAAAGGACATTCCATGACATTAAGGGAAACCAGTGACCAGTTCCACATGAAGAAGCTCTTCCCTCATTGCACACTAAAGACACTCTCTCATCCAGGTCCACAATGTTCAGTATCCATCCTCACCCTAATCACATTATCACACCGCCAGAACTTGTTGCATTACAACACACCTTTAGAAAATAAACGGCCCAAGAAAGAACAGCACTAGCTTTCAACTCCAATCACTAGTATGAATTAACCATTATCGTTCAGAGCCCAAGCACTAGCTCAGAATGACACAACAACTCTTCACAAGAGAAACATCAAAGAAGTTTCCCACATATGTGACCCTGGAGCACAAAACCAGTCTTAAGTCGCTGGGGTATATTTGTAGCAATAGCTAAAAAAAACATTGTATGGGTCAAAATTATCGATTTTTCTTTTATGCCAAAAAATCAT